ATTAAATTTAAATTATTTTAGATGATATTTGGGATATCTTAATGTTATAATAGTTTACTATGTGTATGTACATATTCCTAAACCTATTTTTTCATGTCTAGACCATCCTCTTAATTTTCTAACAACAGGCTGGCTATATCCAAATTTTTAATCAATTTTGATCTTCCTTTCATGCTGTCAAAAAGGTAAATTTAGGCAGATAAAAAGAAATTTAAAAGTAGCAATATCTGTTGTTTAAATTACGGAGATAGAGCTCTTCTTTCCCATGATCTGGAAAACTCTCAGATCCAGATCTCAAGGATTATTATACTTAAAAGATTAATCTTGATTTTTTTAGAGCTATTACATGTTGGATATATAATAGACATTCAATTCATGAGTGTTTTTATTGTTTTATGTCTTCTCTAAGTCTCTCTAGAGTAAACTTCAGGTTCTGCTCAGTCTTTCTTTCTCACCTCTATTGACACTGAGTACTTGATTCTTAAAAAAAGACATCCTATTGGGGAAAAGATAAATTCTATACCTTTTCAGAGTAAAATTCTAGAACATTTTTATGTAACTTCTACTTTATAAAAGTCTATGCATAATCTAATTTAATCCTTGTAACATTTATATGAAGTAGGATATATTTTATTCTTTTAAATAACAAGGAACCTGAAATTTAGAAAAGTTTGTTTACCACATCGCTAATAATGAAGATCCATAATTTGAATGAAAATCTTTGAGGATACAAAGGCCATGTTTGTTTTTTCCATTATACCATGTTGTCTCACTATGAACAAACAAATGCTAACCTGAGTGATACAAATTAAAAAACAACAATACAATGTTATATGAAAACCTCTTAGACTGATCTTGGAGGTTCAAATAAAATTTAAAATCAGAGAAAGACAAGTCAGATTATAGAGCACAAAGAATCAGAAACTCAGACTAAAAGTAAAAATTATACCCTCCAGTAGGCCTCTAATGAAATTTCTCCATTTTCCACAGTCTACTTCCTAGAAACCTTGTTGGACTGAAGGAAAAAGTTGGAAAATAATAGTCAGGTTAAGCAAAAAGTATTTCATTTTAAGTGTTTGTTCAGACCAGTAAATGTGGGAAGAGGAGGGTCAGGAAGAGAAGGAAAGAGTACAAAACTAAAAAAGCTCAGCTACAGGCCACAAGATTGGAAAAAGTGGTAGTAGAAATCCAATGAATGGGGACACCTTAGCTCCTAAATGATCCCAGAATTTAGCTGGCATTTCATCCACAAGGGAGAGTATGGAGGAGTTGGAGTGGGGGAGGGAGTAAAGACTATATGGACCATCCCCGTATTTTTCCCTGGTTCAATCTTCACTCCCATTATTACAATAGATTATAATTTACTAGAGGCCCGGTGCAATTCATGCACAGGTGGGTTCTCAGCTATAATAAGAATGATGAGAATGAATCACTCGGGATGGGGCCGTAGGTGGTTGGCTGGCTGACCTCGCCCCCTGGCCGAACTCCTAGTGGAAGGGACAATTTGCGTATTAGCCTTTTATTGTATAGGATTACTTTAAAATAAATGTTGTCAGTGAAATTAAAAGCTAGATTTGCAGGGAAATTTACTCATGGGGAAAATTAGATTTAAAAAGCACATGCACAAATTCTCCTAACCCAGGTTCCCAAAAATTGAAGGCTGAAAATAAAGAATTCGATACCATCACACTTCACACTTCAGTCCTATGTTGTTTAGTTTCTTTTTTTTTTTTTTACATTTCCGTATTTTATTTTTAATAAAATAAAAAAAATCTTTTGCTTTAAATATCCCTTATTTATCTTATCGGGCACTGGGAACAATAGGTTTGTTGTTTTTTTATTTACTCTTATTAAAGATCAAAAACTACCTCGTTAGGCCTGAGGTCAGGTCACTCTGCTCTTGAAGTCAGACCACTCTCCTTTTCTAAAAAACACTTTCACTGCCATTTTTGAAGTATTCTCCTCCCAAACTGGTTTTACACAGTAGCCCAACTCTTCTCAATCTTGCTGACTCCAAAGTAAACACAGGCTCATTCAATGCTGTTATTATAAATTAAAAGAGGACTATGAAAATAATACACAGTAAAAAGTCTAAGTGAATAAATCTTGATATCCAGTCTTGTTTCTGATTCTCTTGCTAAAGGAAGTAATGAAAGTATAAAGATGGTATGGTAGCTTTCATCCCAACTCCCGACTTCTAAGTAGGTCAGCAGATCTAAACCAAGGTATAATCTCAAGACCTGTCAAACTCATCTATTGTTTCCACTCATTGGGAATTCCAGCTGAGAGGCACCACTTCACTGGCTCCTTGCCCCAAGAAGTTGCCGTTGGGCTTATCCTCACACCTTGAAATAAAGCCTTTTTTTTTTTTTTTGGCTTTTTAATAAAGTGTCACTATTCAGCCTTATTACAGAAGAAATTTGAGGAACTTTAGAATGACACAAGGAAAAACATGAGATAAAAATCAGAATCTAGAAGACTGAAGAATAACAAATCAAAATATAGACACGCAAGCAATGGAGCCCTACATAATTGTTAAAAGCAAGCTTCCTTTTAATGAGATTTCTCACAACTAAAATAAACACCGAGGACAATTAATGATTTGTATTGTCCGTAAGAAAAAGGCAAATTGATTTATCAGGAGAAGTAAATATTTTCCTGAAACAGGTTTGAATACAATTTCCCATTTGGATTGAGTGATGTAATGTTCCCTCAATAATCTTCATAAAAGGCAATAGCAAACCTCATTCAGCTCTTCGTTGATTTTTCAAAGTAAGTATGGGAAAGTGATAAATAATCTCACATTATATGGCTTAAAGTTTTAAACTTTTGGAAATTTGAGCTGGAATAATGAAACGGTGCTGGCTAAAACTACTTGTTGACACCTAATATCAGCTACAACTACGAGATGAGATCTAGTGTGGGCTTGCAGTGAAGATGAATTTTCTAGAAGCAAAGGCGTGACAAATACACCTAGCTCAGTGCTACTTCTGTATCTTACATATAGTTATTGTTGCAGTGATGGCATTGTAATATTCACAGATCTCTCCAGTAAGAGTTCCCTATCTTTGTCCTCTTGGTAACCAATTCCTAGCCAGCGCCTTGTACACAAAACATACCCAATAAATGTTCAGAGTTGAATAATACTGATGTAAAGAAAACCTAGATTAGGAAAATACTGGAAAGTATTACAATGGAAGAACAGTTACTATAATCTCCAACTCCTACTAACATTGGGGCAGGGATCACCACCAGAGAAGATTCAGAACATGAAACGTCCATGGCACTGAAAGCTTCCAAAGCTGTCTTTGTTTTTTTTCATAGAGGTACCTGCATTGTCACAGCATTTCGTATGCTCCAGGGTTGGCCTATTCCATAAAGGCAGGAATATCTGCACTGGCTAAGTAGAATGCCATATTAGAAACATAATGCCTAAATTACCTGGGTTAGTGGGGATGTGAGTTCAGGGAAGTATTCCTATAATTCAAGGTAAAACTTCTCCATGGCAGCTTTTTAAAATTAACTGGCTTTGAAGAAAACTGTTCTAAAGTTATCACATACTGCTGCCCTAGTAAAAAGTCTACTAAACACCACTGAAACTTTAATGACTGAGTCATTATGATGATTTATCACAGAATGTTTTTCAAGTATTTTCAGAGACAGACATATTCTAAGTTCCATTTGTTCTCTCTCCCTCCCCCTCCAACCCCCTCTTGCTCCTAGTGATATTTCTCTATCATCCAGATAGCACCCCAATGCCCCATTTTCTAATTTCTGCTATTAGTTGTGCTTTGTTTTTCCCCTTCTTCCCTCATTTTCTCCCATTCTTACTCTCCCTTGCCTTCGATATTAGTAGGGCTTATTTTTTCATCAATAGCAACTGAGGGAATTCTTTTCCTTCTGCTTTTACAAAATGATCCTATATTCTGCAACCTTCGTTGTCTCTTGATTCTGCTCAGCTATATTTGACACAGATCACTTTTCTACACGTTAATTTTCTACATTTGTTGTTCCAGACAACTGAAGGTGCCTCTGATTAAGGGGGGGAGGGCAATGCTAACAGGTCAAAGTATTATTTTATGGTTATCCTTATCCTTATCCTTACACAAACTCACTTTTCTTTTTTCGCTTAATTTTCAAAGTACAGTACAGAAATTGTCATCCATTTCACTGCTCCTACATCAGGTCTTAAAAGATTCTGGAAAAAAGATAAGTTGCAGACCAAAAAAATAAGTAAAAAAGGGCCTTGGTAGAAACTAAAACTTCTAGACCATTTAGCATTAATGCATATAATATGAAGAAACTACATTTTTAAGCAATAAGGCTTTTTACCTAAAAGAAAGGTAATAAGTATGCAATCAACTTAGAAAAGCTGAGGTTTTTCTTCCTTTCTCATTGTTTTCACTTTGTCTGCTATCATCACTATAATCTTAGGAAAGCATTTAATAAATATAAAACCTTTATTAAGTCAACTATTTCTACTGTGTAATACAAAAGGCTTTAAGAGTATGTATTCTTGTATGCCTCAAATTATATCTTCACTCTTATATCAAAATAAGGTAATAAACTCTGAAAAACATCCAAATTCTTTTTGTATGGAATTTGGATAAAAGAACCCACTGCTACTATCGCAGGGTAAATTGATGAAACAGAGCTAAAAATGCACCCTAAGCCCAGGTTCTGAATCTTTTTGCATATTTTAATATTAGGTTTTAAGGTGGGATTTGGGCCTGCGTCCTCGTTTGGAAGTGTTTGAGGTAGGGTGATATGAAGGCAGGCGATGATAATTATCATTAATGAAAGGAAAACAAAATTTTAAACTAGGCAACTCAGTTCATTTCTGCTGTCTCCTAGTGCATACCATCAGGTTCTTTAATTATGGAAAAATAGCTGGTCTAGGATCAGAGCAAACATCTGATGCAGAAAATTCAGTGTAACCTATAGAACACAATTCCTTTCTGTAATACAAGAGGGTATGGAAATGATTTCTGTTACAAATTTATTTTTGTAATGAAATTTTACCAGTTAAGATAGTAATGGCTCACATTTATTAAGCATCTAGTATATGTCAGGTAATTGTTAAGAACTTTATATGGATTGACACTTAATCATCCCAACAACCCTATGAGTCAGATATGAGTATCATCACCCTGTTTAATAGATGGGAAGTGACCCTGAGTAATAAGTAATTTACTCAAGGTCCCTTAGGTTCTACAACAGGGATTCAAATGCCAAACACCAGTTAGTACTTTAATTTCCATGCTACATTATCTCCCCACCAATATAGAAAGATGACTATGCCACCCCCATTCAGGTAAAATCCCACCCTCTGTCAGATTTGTCTCTTTTGCAGTCCATTGAAAATACATTCTGAAAGTATTTGAATATCATCAGAAGACCCAGTACCTCTAAAGCATAGTTTTGACTTAAAATTTATAATATTTTCCCTATTATTATTTGTAATTTTTGCTATGTCTAAAAATAAGCATATTTTAAAAAACATCTGAAATATGGTAAAAAAAAAATAAGACAGAAAAAAATTCATGTTTTTTAAAAGAACATAACCAGTTAGTTGAAGTTCCACTGAAAGTATCTGATAATAAAAACAAATTTTAATTTTTCATTTAACAACACTAAAGAATGAGGTATATAAATGTTTTAATCACAGACTTTTACTGTATGCAATTAACTATATTTCACAACTAGCATCTTACAAAAAAGACAGTACCATTGTGCCTGTAAAAAGTACTGCAATAAAACAGAAAATTACATTATCACATGAAACCACCATATATCACAACTGTCAGGGTCTACAGTTTTATTTTTTTCTTAAAATGCTATCATGATGTCTTTATGTGATATCTTGTATCCAAGTTATGTTGTTAAGTTCATTGATATTGCAGAAGTCTCCTACAGGTGGCTATATATTAAGTAAATGGCTAAGAAAAAGCAGGAGACCTTAGGAGAATTTAAGAAGTACTGTGTGGTTTCTAGGTTTGATTTTTAAATATAACATAAAACACTTTATTAGTTGTAAACAAAAATGCAAAATCTGTAGTCATAAAAATATTTTATTCATAACTTTACATAATAGTACGTGGAGCTGTAAATATTTATTTTGGGATATTGATAAATGCATAAACTGGCAGCTGTGTCTGAAAATAGGGCACTATGATTTTCATAAGAATTGTTACATTTAATAAGAGGCCAATTAAACTGATTTAAAACTAGTCTTTTTCCCAGTTCTGTGCAACAGTTGTCATTTCTGTATTTATTAGATTCATACTTCTATAACCCTGGATAAAGTTTGGGGCGAGGAAACAGTGATAGAACTATTAAGTTAAAGCTTTTCCAAAACTGCAGCTTTTAAAATATGGCAGGTTTCTTTTCTCTTCTGCTTTTGTCAAATGCTTATAATTATTTGAATTTTAATATTTTATATAATACAGAAAATACCAGTGTTCAATGACAATAGCACTAAACTTGAATTATAAAGCTAAATAATCAATGTTTTATTGTTTACTAGTCTGAGAGTAAACATTACAACAAATGAATGTTTTGAAAGCAAAAAAAAAAAAAAAGCAAAAAAAAAAAAAAAAAAGGAGGTAAAACCAGAAACAAAATTCAGGAAAAAATAATTTAGCAAAATGTGTCAAAAATATTGGCAACGGTTCATACAAATTCTTTATTTAATAACAGTTTTTCTATTTAACCACACCAAGTACCAGCAGGTGTATTAAGAGGATAGCCATTAAGAAAATCCTGTTGCAGCAATAGTTGATTAAGTTGATCTTTGACTTGTATACATATAACTATTTGTTTCACAATTCTCAAATAATACATATTTAGGCAGGTTGCACTATGTTATAAAAATTTAACTTCGTTACATGCCAATAGTAGAGAATTCAAGAATTATGTGTTAGAATTCACTAAACTAAAAGTGAAAATAGACTTACCAATAACACTGCATAATGAATAATTCAACCACATTTTCATGGCACCTTTAATTGTGGAGACCAAAATGTTAAAGTCTGGAAATGTTTGGTAGGCATAGATTGCAATCAAATCTAACAAATTCTAACAAATTTCTCTTTTATGTAAAATGCAAATTATGAATTGTGCATGAATGTGTTTGTCATGAAAATGTGGTACTTCTTGGCATAATCTGTATATTTGCATGATATGAATGAACTAAGAAATTGGAGAAAATAAACTTTAATGGGATTCTCCATTCAATGATGAGGCTTCTCCTCTAGGTGAAGATGACCTGGACATTCCCCTCTCTGTGTTATCAGGACTAGAGCCACTCTGATTGTGCTGATCTGCAGAAGCAGCACTAGATGCAGGCGGTGACTTCGTTTTCTCCTTAAAGTCTGTAATAATGACTGTCAGATCTCCAACGGTAACTTCCAAATGCTGAGCACTACTCCGATCCACATTTTTCAATCTTGGCCTAAACACACAAAAGATGATATAATTTTAAACTAGCTTTTCTGGCTACTAACTTTCTGTGCACATAATGAACAAGTTAGGTAAGAACAACAAAATGAACATATCTATGTTTAAAGCTCTACATTCATGTGTATCTAGCCACAAAATATCATTAAATGTTTCAAATCATTAACATTAATCAAACTACTCACTCATGAATCTTCTTCGTGACAAAAAACTGTGACACTGGAAATAAGAGGCTGGCTCTTAATTGTACTTTTATAGCTTTATCATAATTTTGCAGATAGGTTACCAATTTTTTTTAAAACAAATGTTGTAGAAGGGCAATGATATAGTTACATCAGAGAGGAAGCTGGTAACAGCTAAGGTTACGTTATATGCAGGGCTATTACTCCATTGATGTGCGTGGCTAAGGGCATCAAGATTGTCTATTCTGCCTGAACCATGACCATTTTGACTGATTAAAGCCCATGCAAATATCTGTGAATACTGTGACTATTACTCCTGGCTTTATGAGTGAAAAAGAAATGACTCAAACACAAATGTCTTTTAATCTAGTGAAAAACACACACACATCCTCACATTTAAGCTCATATTTGTGGCCTCTGTGTTTAACTTCTAGTACAGTAGGTCCTCGGGTTATGTTGGCTAGCCGTTCCCATGGCGCAAGGTAACACGATTTTCGCCGTTAGTCGGATCCCACCTACATAAGCACCTAAGTCACTCACATGAGGCACATGCACAGCAGTAATGAAGTGAAACAGTAAAAAAAAAAATTCAAAAGAAAGATAACAATCCCTGACCTTTACTTGTGATAAATAAGTAATAAAAAACATGAAGCACATATGTACATATGTTGAAATGACGGAACTTTTCTTTTTTTTTTTTAAATATATTTTATTGATTTTTTACAGAGAGGAAGGGAGAGAGACAGAGAGTTAGAAACATCGATGAGAGAGAGACATCGATCAGCTGCCTCCTGCACATCTCCCACTGGGGATGTGCCCGCAACCCAGGTACATGCCCCTGACCGGAATCGAACCTGGGACCCTTCAGTCCGCAGGCCGATGCTCTATCCACTGAGCCAAACCGGTTTCGGCAACTTTTCTTTTTTAATAAATAAATGGGAGATGGTGACATCATAACCACGAAACGACGTACGTCAAGTCCGACATAACCCGAGGACTGTCTGTACATCTTTCAAACTACAAAAAACCCCACCAAAACCAATTTCATGATACTTTACAATAAAGGAGATGAAATCTTTTACTTCTACTTCGTACATATTATATTAAAAGAGATAAAATGGTTAATTTTATTATTTCAAAGGTACCACAAAATATTTAAAAAATTTACCTGGTTTTCTTATGACTGTTCTTTTTGCTAGTTGTTTCCTTTTCACTCTTTTCTTTTTCTACTTTATCTTTTTTCTCTTTCTTTGACTGTGTAGGGGGCACAAACTGCTGAGTAACCTGCTGTGCAACCAACTGGGAGACAGGTCGAGGTTTCCTGTGTATATGTTAAAAAGAAAGTTTTTAAAAATTATTATAACTTAAGAATACATATTCTTTATGAGAAAATAGCTCAAATTATGAGACTATATATTATAAATTTCAAGTATAAAAATTCTTCATATGCAAGGTAATTCAGATGTGCAATTTAACAATTTAATAACATTGTTTTTCCAACCCAACAAAAGTTCCATATAATAAAAGCCGCTAAGTGTCCGGTCATCCATTCAACCAATCAAAGCATGATATGCTAAGACCGCTCAACCGCTCACTATGATGTGCACTGACCACCGGGGGCAGAGGCTCCGACTGGTATGTTAGTTTGCTGCTGAGGTCTGGACGATCGGGACTGAGCAAGATGGGCCAGACATGACCTGGAGCCCTCCCTGGCTGGCCAACCTCCTGTGTCCCTCCCTGGCCCCGATGGTGCACTAGTGAGGTCCCTTGGCCTGTCTTGTGCCCTCTCGCAATCCGGGACCCCTCGGGGGATGTCAGAGAGCCAGTTTCAGCCCGATCCTGCAGGCCAGGTCAAGGGACCCCACTGGTGCACAAATTTGTGCACCGGGCCTCTAGTAGAAATATAATAGCTAAAAGTTATAGCCCAAGATATATGGTCAAACCAATAGAATATAACATACATAAATCAATATGAAATTATTAAAAATATGTATCAAACTGAATGTTCATAGGGAAGCACACATAAAGATGCACAAATTTTAAAAATTAAACTTGAAAGTTTACACTGAAATAACATTTTATCCTTCCTCCCTCAGAGAAGGAAATATCTAACCATCTGTGACTATGACTATTTGTTTTTTCCTTTAAAATCTTTCATTTATTCACTTAATAAATATTTGAGTGTTGAAATTTCTCAGTCATTATTGCTCAATTTCTTGAGGTGCCTTATCTATTCTAGCCACAAGATCACCATGCTTTTTTGACCTTGGAGATCTGCCCAGTCTTTTGACACATGCCTCCTCACTCACTTATTCATTAAAAAAACATTTACTGAGAAACTACTGTAGAATCTGCACAGAGATATCTGAAATGTTGGCTGGCTTTAATCTTTGGTGCCAGTACAAGCTATCACTCTATAGGCCTAGATCAAGGATCCCTCCAGCTTTATGGTAGAACTTGGGCAATTAAAGTCAAGATTCAAAGTTAAGTAATCTCTAAGTTCTTAAAATGAGAGAGAAAAAAGACTGAGAAAGGGAAAAGGGAAGGAAGGAAAAAGTTAGGGAGCATAAGACAAAAATACATTTCAACAGATGGGTCTATAAACAATAGTTAATTTTATTGTCTGGAAAATCCTGACCCTATTTTGGTCAGTAGAGTTACAAAAAAAACCAAAAAAACACTTTTTTTTTCTTCTTTTGGTTTCTCTAGACAAGCAAGACAAAATAGAAACCAATGAGAAAATACTGCAAAATCTACAATCAAAGCTGCACAGAGGAATCCTTTGAAGGAGGAAACAGGAAACAGTATGTAAAACAGATTTCAGCAGATGGGAAATTAATTTTGTTTAGAGCCTAAACAGTCTTAAGTACAGGAAGAAAATCCAGGAAAGATGTCCAATACACAAGTAGGGTTGACATATAAATCACGGTTAGTGATGTAGATTAAGAGTTACACAAATTAAAGTGGCACTGAAACATGGCAAGTGATGGCTGAGCTTATTTAAGAAATGAATTTTTTAAAAAAGGGGTTAAAGGAATGGTTCTCAAATTTACATACAACGGGATCACCTGGAAGACTTAGCCCCATTCCCAGGGTTTCTGAGTTCAGTAGGCCCGAAGTAGTGCAATAATTTGCATTTCTAACTAGTTTCCAAGCCAAGCTATGCCTCTGGTCTGGCCACCACACTTTGTGAAAAAGCTTTAAGAAATGTAATATATTAGTACTACTGGAGCATAAAGTTTGAGATGAAAATCAGGGAGTGGCAGAGAAATAAAAAGAGCAAGGCTGGATGGCCAGGCAGGAACCCAATAATGAAAACCCAGGAAGGAAGTTTGATTTACCCTTAATAGATGGAAGAGCATTGAAGAAATTCAGATTTGAATTTTACAAAGATTACTGGCAGCAGTCTTAAGAGGAAAGGTACAAAAGACGCAGGGAAACTGTTAAGAAGCTACTTTAATGGATCGAGCAAAATTAAAAGGGGCTTGAACTAAGGAAGCAGCAGTGGTTTTATTTAAGACAGACTAAAGAAGCATGGTCAAGGGGACACGATGACTAGCCAGATGTGATTTTTCTCACTTCACAACCAACAAACATTCCTTTAGCAAAACAGAGAGAAACCCTTGCCCTCCTGTAGCCAACTTTCTGTGGGGGGCATAAAAAAAGAAAAAACAGTCTCTGATGCTAAAAATGCTATATAAATAAATAAAGTAAGGATCATAGGGAGTGTTGGGGAAGGAGATGCAGTTTTAATTTTGTCTTGTTTCTACTTCTAAAATAAACTCCACAAGTAAAGAGATGGTATTACATACCACTGTTTAACTAATACCCAGCACAGTACTGAAAAAATACTAGACACTTAATATTTGTGCTTGGCTGATGTGGCCCAGTGGTTGACCATCAACTCATGAACCAAGAGGGCTCAGTTTGATTCCTGGTCAGGGCACATACCTGAGTTATGGGCTCGATCCCCAGTAGGGGGCGTGCAGGAGGCAGCTGATCGATGTTTCTCATTATGTTTCTATCTCTCTATCCCTCTCCCTTTCTCTCTCTCTAAGAAACTCAATAAAAGCATATAAAAATATTTTCTGAAGAATGAGTGAATAATAAAATCAGGTTTAATGAGGGAGAAAGATTTATTTTTTTAAGAAAAGGAGTCCAGTAATGTCTAAGCTTAGTCATTGTTCAGGATCACTACACAGAAGTAAACAAATAATGAAAAAGAGCAGCAAGAATTAATTTCTCTTTTAATAATGCTGGAATATAGAAAGAAAAAGCTAAAAGGTGTGGTAGAGTTGAGAAAAGATTTGTTTAGACTAGGGCCTAGTGAATAGTGCGTCACCTAAAATCAAAGTCACCCCAAGATATAAAATGCAACTGAGGTGTAGTAATCATTTTGTCTCCAAGTCATTAAGGATCTCTGAATCTATTTTTTCCATAACAAATGAAGGTTTGACAATTTCCTTTCTTACATTTTGTAATGTTGCTCCCTTCTGCAACCCAAAATGTAATGCAAAATAAATTTCCAAAATGGTTAATGAATAAAACTGAATTACAATAAAATTGCAAACATTCATATAAATTTACATTCTTTTGAACCTAGTATAAAATCCTGTAGTTTCAAGCAATCAATAATTGATGTTATTCAGGAGCCATTAATACTAACTTAAAATATAAAATTTATTTATATTCTGTTTACTTAGTGCTGCCTTTAAGTAAAGTTGATTATTTTTCTAGGTGTTTTGGATTCATTAATTACCTCAATACCCAAAAGCAGTTTTTTTCCATAAGATCTAAATATCTCAATCTTGGACACTCTAAATCATGAAGATTTTCAGGAATATAACATTGTGCCGTGGTTAGGTAAAAAATGTTTTTATAACATGATCAATCACTCCCCCTTCCCTCCAGCATGTCTCCAAGTGGGGACCCAACTATTCTGTGACACTGTTCCTCAACATTCTCACTCCCACTTCTGTGAGAAAGGGATAATCCTAATTCCCCAACTTCATGAATCTTACAACTGCTGCTTTTCATATTTTACAAGCTTTATGTCTCCATAATCTTTCTAGGATCATTTTTCCTTTTATATGGCCCATATAAAATATGAGTCCATTAGTGTAAAAATAAAAGCATATTAGTAGAGAAGGTTTTGTTTCATTAAGCCAGGAGGTTGAGTTAAATAAATAAATTCTTTTTTAAAAAAAAAACACCTTGATTGATTGATTTTAGAGAAGAAGTAAGGACAAGGGAGAGAGAAAGGTATGAAGGGAGAGAGGGAGGAGAAACATCAATTTGTTGTTCCACTTATTCATGCACCCATTGGTTGATTCTTGTATGTGTCCTGACTGGGGATCGAACTTGCAATGTTGGAATATCGAGATGATGCTTTAACCAACTGAGCTATCTGGCCAGGGCACTAATTTATCTTCTAAATGAGATATGAATCTAGAATTTTTCTAAGTGTTTAAGTCTCCGTGGTAAGAGCAAAATAATAAACATATACTCTCCTACAAGGCAAAACCAACTCAGAAAGAACAATTATTTAAACTGCTCAGGTGAGAGACTGGAATCAGAAAACAAACTAGAAGACTACCACGTCAAAATAGAAATGAAGTGATAGTAATAAGGACCTATTCTACGGCATAGTCAGGGGAATGGAACTGAAGCAGTGAATCTATTGACATTTCAGAAGGATAATACAACCAGATATGTGCTGAATAAGAAGGATAAAGAACAACACCCCCTCCTCAAGAGAAATAAAACTGAAAGAAATGGGGAATTAGGAAGCACAGTGCTATGGACAGAATGTTTGTGTCCCTCCTCCCCACATTCACATATGAAATCCTATCCCCTAAGGTGATAGTATTATAGGTGGAGCCTTTGGGAGATGATTAAGTCATGCAGGTAGAGCCATCATGAATGGGATTGATGCTGTCATAAAAGAGGCCACAGAGAGAGATCCTTTGCCCTTTCTACCACGTGAGGACACAGTGAGAAATTGGCTGTTAAAGAGAAGTGTGTCCTCATTAGACACTGAATCTGCCAGTGGCATGATCTTGAACTTCCCAGTCTCAAGAACTGTGAAAAATAAATGTTTGTTGTTTATGTCCCACACAGTCGATGGTATTGTTGCTAGAGCAGCTCAAAAGAACTAAGACCCGTAGTTGCAGAAAGCCAAGAACAGGGCTATTCTAAACAAGAAGAAGTGATGAACTTGGTGTTGGGCATGTTGGCGTTTTAGATTTTTAAAATACTAGTAGCCCTGTGCACGAATCCATGCACCAGTAGGTTTCTGCCACCCTCCTGTAGCTCTCCATC